ATGAGCTGCAGCTGGCTCATGGCCTTCTTAGAGCAGAGAAAGTGGTAAGTCATTTTACTAAGTTCCTAAACAGTTGTGCAGGCAACACTCCTTGCAGATCCAGAAGCTGAGGCACAATGGGGTTATGACTTGCTCAAGAATTACATAGCTGTTAGGGAGTAAATAAGGCATCACAGTTTCTGTTCAGTGGCAGGAATAGGCTGTGAATTGCAGAGTCGTACACCTTTCCCAGATGTAGACTAGAATCTGCAGGATGCCACCCACTGTGTATAGCTCTGCTTTCCCAGAGAGGAAGGACTTTTAGAAACCAAATGATCTTAATTGTGATTGCCCACCTCTAGCTTTTCAGGGTAGAAAATTCATGATAGGAATAATTGTTAAGAGAGAGTGCTTGGAACCATGGGTTAACAGGAAAGGCTACATAACTTCACATATCTGCAACCAGAGCAGCCACCAAGCATGACTTACCCAGCAGCAAGAAAATGATTGTATTTGAGTTCCTGCTTGTCTAAAACTGAGGCACCATATTCTTTGAAAACATGCCATCTCATGGCCTCTATCTTTGGGCCCTGTGATTGCAAAGTTCCTGAGTTAAGAAGGAAAGGGAAAAGATACAGCTAGAAGTGAGTGGAGATGGTGTGGTGGGGGGATAAGGCGGGATAAGAGGAGATGCTGAGGGCTGGGGCTGCACAGATGCTCGGCAGAGTCAGAGGTGCTCAAGCTCTCTTGGGGGTGGGTGAGGAGTGGGGCAGCAGTGTTTGCCACCTTTTTAGGAGTCAGGGTCAAAGCCACTGGTGTTTATTTGACAGTGACATTGCCCTGCTCAACCAGAAGGGTACTTTTTTAAAAAAATTATTTCCCGTTGCAATTGTAATTACTGCTTATTAAGGAAAATTGAGGAATTTTACAAAGAATCAGTTTGCCACCCAAATGCTACCACTGTTAAATCTTTTGGTGTTAAATGTTCCCCTAGACATATCTGTGCATAGATTTTTGGTGTGTTTACATAGCCGTCCTTCTACTGTATATACAATTTTATGTCCCTTTTGTACTTAACATATAAACATTTTTTCCATGTTACAGTCTTAAACAGAATTTTATGGTTGCAGCCTCTTCCATTGAGTTTCGGTAGCATTGTTTGCCTGGTTCCCAGAGCTCGAGGGAGGCTTGGGTTGTCTCCTGTTAGTTCTCCTGGCTCACACTTGCTGTAAAGCTGTGTGAAGTGATTGCTGAGCTCCCTGGGACTGCCTCTAACTGCTCCTTGGTAACTAAGACTTGTGGGCTGGTGGGAGGAACCCCTAGAACCAACCTCAACCCCAGGCTGTAGTGCACAGCCATAGGGCCAGAAATGAGTGACTGGGAAAGGCAAGCCTGAGCCAGCCTGGCTCTTCAGAGACTATGTGGCACATACCTCAGGCTGCCTTGCTTTCCCCACTGTTACCTAAACCCTTGACCAGATTGACAAACTCTAATTGGAATAAGTTTTGTCCTGCTAGGCCCTGGCTTCTGGAGGGCAGGGATACTGGAGTCTCTCTGAGGCCCCAGCACCCAGTCTGACAGAAGGCAATTGTTTCAGTAACCCATTGCCCGGAGGCTGCTGCTCTAGTTCAGCATCCTCAGAGCTGTAGGACCTGCTTCCTGCTCTTGCCTTGCCCTCTCTGAACCAGACAAGAAAACCTCGGGCTTGCCACATTGTCACATTGCCACATTGCTCATGGGACTCTGCAACAGTGGCAGAGGGAACATCCTAGCTTGTGTGTGATAGGCCATGCATAGGCTCTTCTGACACAGACTGCGTAAGTGGGAAGAGACCCCTCCTGGCCTGGTGGGAGGACTGCTGCCGTGTTCAGCTCTGCTGGGAGACATGAACAAGTTAGGTGAGCATGGCCGCCCTTGCAGCAGTCACTTCTGTCTCTGGCCTGCTTGCAACCGAGAGACCACCCACTCCCCAGACTTCAGCCTTGTGATGTGAGGAACAACAGCAGGCTGGGTGGGAAGCCAGGCAAGCAGGCTGTGGGGGCAAGTTGGCTCAGCAGTTGATGTGGGTAAGAGAAGTAGGCGCAGGATGCTGCCCGCACTTTTTTTTTTTTTTTTTTTTTTTTTTTGCACTCAGGCAGGGTGGTGAAGTAGTGGGGGTGAGGAAAGAGGAAGTGGCACTCCTACAGGCTGGTAGGACAACACTTGAGCTGCCTGAGGAGTCCTGGCAAGACTACCAGAGCTTCAAGGGTCTACTTTGTCAGGGCCCACCTGTGAACAGGTTCAGTGAGTGTCCAGGCTGGAGTGCAGTGGCACAATCTGCTCACTGAAGTCAATGGGAAATGTCTGATGCAGTTTTTCCAATCTTCCCTGGAGAATGTGCAGGAAATGAAATTTACAGTGAGTTAATGGGTAAGAAAGTGGTCTGAGGCCAGGTGTGGTGGCTCACGCCTGTAGTCCCAGCACATTGGGAGGCTGAAGCGGGTAGATCACCCGAGGTCAGGAGTTTGAGACCAAGCCTGGCCAACATGGTGAAACCCCATCTTTACTAAAAATACTGGGCATGGTGGTGTGTGCCTGTAATCCCAGCTATTCAGGAAGCTGAAGCAGAAGAATCGCTTGAACCTGGGAGGTGGAGGTTGCAGTGACCTGAGATTGCACCACTGCATTCCAGGCAACAAGAGCAAAACTCTGTCTCAAAAAAAAAAAACCGGCTATTGGGGTGGGTTCTGAGAGCCTCTCAGTTAACCTAATTATATAGGTTTTACCACTGGCTCTTCGACCTGTTAGATGTTATTCATGGCTGCAATTTTGGCCTATCAGTTGCCTGGTAAGGTAATTCACCTCAATTATAAAGTAGGAGTAAGTCAGGGAAGGCTCACGTAAAGCTGAGGTCATGAAGGTGGTTTGCCTTGTAATTCAACAGATATTTCCTGAGCACCTGAGTCTTGGTACGTTCTAGTTGACAGCATAGTTTTTTTTTTTTTTTTTTGGAGATGCAGTCTCACTGTGTTGCCCAGGCTGGAGTGCAGAGGCACATCTCTGCTCACTGCAACCTCTACCTCCTGGGTTCAGATGATCCTCTCACCTCAGCCTCCCACGTAGCTGTGACCAGGCATATATCACCATGCCTAGTTAATTTTTTGTATTTTTGGTAGAGATGGGTTTTACCATGTTGTTCAGGATGGTCTCAAACTCCTGAGCTCAAGCAATCCACCTGCCTCAGCCTCCCAAAGTCCTGGGATTACAGGCATGAGCCACTGTGCCCTGCAAAGATAAGAGCATATAGTCTTTTTGGAGAAGATGAAAAACTAAGCTGCTTATTAAACAGCAAGCCCTAGGGCCCTTTTATCCAGCTAATTCTAGCTTTATAGAAATTTGCATTCAAAAGTAAGTAAGTGAAAAAGTCACATTGCACATGTGTAATTCCAGCTACAGGCTGGGAGGACTGCTTGAACCCAACAGTTTGAGATGAGCCTGGGCAAAATAGTGAGACCCTGTCTCATTACCGTTTTTTTTTTGTTTGTTTTTTTTGTTTGTTTTTGTTGAGACTGAGTCTACTAGCATGACAACTTATGTTGGAGTGTGAAAAAAGAAAGAAAAAATTAAAAAAAAAAAGAGACTGAGTCTTGCTCTGTCATTCAGGCCGGAGTGCAGTGTCACCATCTTAGCTCACTGCAACCTCTGCCTCTTGGGTTCAAGCAATTCTTCTGCCTCAGTCTCCTGAGTAGCTGGGACTACAGGCGCATGTCATCACGCCCAGCTAATTTTTGTATTTTTAGTAGAGACAGGGTTTCACCATTTTAGCCAGGCTGGTCTCAAACTCCTGACCTCGTGATCAGCCCACCTTGGCCTCTCAAAGTGCTGGCATTACAGGTGTGAGCTACCACACCTGGCCTTACTTTTTTTTTTTTTTTTTTTTTTTTTAAATTAAAGACCACCCTCCAGTATCTCAAGCCCAGAGCCTACAAGTAGCGGAGGCTAGGCACAGTGGCTCATGCCTGTATTCCCAGAGAGGCTGAGGTGGGGGCATCACTTGCATCTAGGAGTTTGAGCCAGTCTGGGCAACATAGACCCTGTCTCTACAAAAAATAAAAAGTAGGCACAGTGGCTCACACCTGTAATCCCAGCATTTTGGGAGGCTGAGGTGGGCAGATCACAAGGTCAAGAGATCGAGACCATCCTGGCCAACATGGTTAAACCCTGTCTCTACTGAAAATAGAAAAATTGCTGGGTGTGGTGGCACGTGCCTGTAATACCAGCTACTTGGGAGGCTGTGGCAGGAGAATCATTGAACCTGGGAGTCAGGTTACAGTGAGCCAAGATTTCGCCACTAGACTGCAGCCTGGTGACAGAGCAAGACTGCATATCAAAAAAAATTAAAAAGTTAGCAGGGTGTGGTGGTGCATACCTGTGGTCTCAGCTACTTGAAAGGCTGAGGTGGGAGGATCACTTGAGCCCAGGAGGTCAAAGCTGCAGTGAGCTGTGGTCATATCACTGCACTCCCATCTAGCCTGTGTGACAGAGTGAGACCCCGTCTCAAAGAAGAAAAAAAGCTGGTGCAGTGGCTCACACCTGTAACCCCAACACTTTAGAAGGCTGAGGCAGGTGGATCACTTGAAGTCAGGCGTTCAAGACCAGCCTGGCCAATATGGTGAAACTCCATCTCTACTAAAAATATAAAAATTAGCTGGGTGTGACACCAGGTGCCTGCAATCCCAGCTACTTGGGAAGCTGAGGCAAGAGAATGGCTTGAACCCAGAAGGTGGAGGTTGCAGCGAGCCGAGACCATGCCACTGCTCTGCTGCCTGGGTGACAGAGTGAGACTCCATCTCAAAAGGATGGTAGAGACTTTTCTGTTTCCTGGGCAAAAAGTCTCTCACTGGTGCTCACCCAAGCTGAGAACTAGAGAAACTGCAAAGAAAACAGTCCTGATTATATGCAAGCTTGCAAGGTGGAGCTAAAACTAATCCACTGGAAGGTGACAAGAAACAGCAAAAGGTATCATCCTTAATCCAAGCTGTACAGCAATTCACAATTCACAAGGGCTCTTCTGTACACAGCATTTAATAGGGAGGCGAGAGGGAACAACAAAGCAAAGGCAGAGTTGGGGCATCAGACCAGGGCAGGGCTGGAACTAGGGAGAAGCAACCAGTTAGCAGGCAGGCTACTACAAGCAGCAAATGGAGAGCCCTCTCACCCAGCCAACTCCAGGAGCTTCTCTGGTTCCTTGTGCTCTACCCTGAACCTTAGCCCAAGAGCCTGTTCCTCATCTCCAGCAAAGGACAGCAGGGCAGGACCTGAGTTGGTCTCTTCAGGGGCTGTCTTGAAGATGGCTGTTTTAGCAGAAATGGGGCTGCCTAAAGGTTTCTACAAGGCACCTTGCATGGACTTCAGGGGTTGTTGAACACATGCCCTGACATCCATGCACTGGAGACCTGTATTTAAACATGGGCTAGCTGCCCATCCTGGCATCTTTGGCTAATACTCTTACCCTGGGTGCCCCTATCTGAGAATGATACTTTGGGCTGTTGAAGATCCTGTCTGAGGAGCCTCACATGGGTTTCCTGGTTAAGTTGTAAAGTCACTCTGCCAAAGAGGTTATCACTGCAAAAGTCAGGACCTGGTGGGCTGGGCTCACCACACCCTTCCAGCTCTGACTGCCTGGTATAAATGTTCCTCTTGAGATGGATGTGTGTCAAGGTAACCACCGAGAGCACTGGGCTGTGGCTGGGGATAGGGCGGGCAGGATTTGCTCTTGGTCACACTGGAAGGATGCCCAGACCACACCCAAACACTGGAGCAGTTCTGGGATACAGTGTCTGAATCCTCAGGGGCCATTGCTGTCTTGGCCCTGACTGTGCAAGGGAATCACGAACACAGAGACGTCATCGTAGGACACCTGCCCTTCCCCTGTGAGACCGTCTTCCTTCCCCTGTGTGCTGTGTATCAGCATCTGGGCCAGCTTCAAGAACCTGTGAAGACCATCCTGCAGATAGACTTCAGGGGCAGGGCAAAGGGGTAAGGCCAGTCCTTAGAACTCACTGCATAAGGTTGGACACTGGGGACCCAAACATGCAGTCTGACTGTGGAGCAAGGAAGCAGCAAGCCTGGGTGGGCCACGGGCTGGACCACAGGAGTCTAGATCCAGGGATTTTTGGAACCCACAGTCTCCCCTCCTCCCCCAAGAAGCTTGAGACAGCCCTGATCCTGGCCAGCTGCCAGCTCATTGTCAGTGCTGTCTTCTCAGCTATAACTACTTGGGTTTGCTGCTGGCACCAACGCAGACAGGTCCAACCCAGGCAGGTCCCCAGCAGCTACAGTACCTGTGTGGGTCCTCTTGGTTCCCAGGGAGGAAGCTCCGCACCAGCCATGCCACCTGCTCGTTGGACAGGACATCCCAGAGTCCATCAGTCGCCATGACAACCACATCATCCTCCTGTAGCTCCAGCTGGTCCACATCCAGCACAGTCACCTACAAGTTAAGCCTGAGGATTCTGCATGCTCCCTTCCCTCCTCCCACCAGCCTCACTGTCTGCCTTTCTGCGCAGATGGAAGCTGGGTTGGATAGCATTGCCCCCTCACCTGTGGGACAGAGAGCAAGAAAGGCTTGAGCTGGATGTTTGTGTCCAGGACTCTGAGCTGATGGTCTCCCAAGCCCCGGGAGACAGCCAGTGTTCCTAGTAACCGAGCCTGAGGGAAAGTGAGGTGTGAGGTGACGGCAAACAGCTCCAGCAAATGCACAAGTACCAGGTCCTAGCACTGCAGAGCACACAGGGAGAGGTGGACTGTGGCCACCTTTGGAAGCCTTGGACTGAGAGAGAAAATTCCTGGTCTCAGAGCAAACCCCAGGGCACCAGCCACAGCTACCAGCAAGAGGCAAAGGAGCTCCCACCTCTGTAGGGAATAATGAAGAGGGATTCTTGCAGGGAGCCAGGCACTGACCTGCCTACCCTGTCCGTGGATCAGTGGGTACTTGAGATCCGATTTGTCCACACGTTTGTAGCTCCTACCAGGAGCAGAGCCAGCATAAACCCAAGCCCTGTGCCCCATCTCATCTTTCCCCAACTTAGGGCCCAGCTATCATACCCTCATGGTGCCCACCCTGCCAAGGTGGAGGGGGCTGCCCCAGGCCATACAGCTGGGCCCGGATCCCAGGGCTCTCCCTTCCCACCTGTCCCTCATCCCCACTCACCAGCCCCTCATGTGGTGATCCCTGAACAAAACCTTCTGTCCCAAGTCATCCCCCTTCAGCCGCCGAGGGAACTCCAGTCGGGTGAACTCACCAGCCAGAAGCTCAGGGTAGACAAAGGCCTGGGGTGTGGAGGCTGTGCTCAGGTCACACTCCCTCTAGTGGCCCTGGACCCAGGAGTTGGGGCTTCACAGCCTCCATGCTGCCAAGGGCACCTACCAGCTGCTGGATCCGCTGCCGCTCAGTCTCTGGGGTGAACTCGGAGCTCAGTGGCCGTATCTCATCTCTCCGCACCAAGATGGCCCTGGATGGGGTTGAAGAGAGGAAGGAGAAGTCTAGGAGGGGGCCTCTACCCTCACTAATATCCACCCTCCTACCAGTCCCTCCTCCAACCACCAGGACCCAGCTCTGCCCATCATGATCCCTTAAAGTCCTCCATGACTGCCTAAAACCTGCAAGGGTAGAAGCTTAGCTCTTTAGCAGGGCACTTGAGGTCCCTGCTCTCCCCAGCAGCCACTGTCCACCCTCACACTCCACACATGCCAAGTACATACTCAGTTCAGCCAGCCAATCCTTCCTACTATCTCTCCACTTCCAGCCACCTTTCATTGTCCCCATTGCTGCTTGTGCCCTCCCCACCCCACCCTTGCCCACCCTCCAAGGGGTGACTCACTCACCTGCTATCCCCAGCATTGGCCACGTACAGCTTTCCCTGAAGGGACACAGCCACCAGGGCTGTGCAGCCGCCCACCTGGCCTGAGGCCTCCAGCTCCCGCCCGATCACCTCATCCTGGGGCAAACCGAGGCCACCTTAGCTGCTGCCTGTTCTGCCACCATACTGCTTTGTCTCTCAATCCCCACCCTACCCTATAGTTCACTTCCACCAGGAGGCCTGACAGTCCCAGCCCAAAGTCCAGCCATGATCCCTGCAGTCAGAAGATCTAGACAAGGGAAGTGCTACTCAAAATAGGAAGAGAAACCAGCCCCTGCACCAAGGACCAACAGGGCATTCAATGAGATGATGCAGGTAAAAGTAAATGCTGGATAAAAGAGGGGTTATGCTGAGAGTGATGGCTGTTAGTAACAACCCAACCAACCCAATCTCATCCTTCCAATCTCTGTATACTGTGATGACCACGATATACAGAGATGCCATTCCTTGAGATCCCTAGGGACAAAATCTCAATTTCTTCTCCAGCCAAAAGCCACACACTCACACATTCCTGAAAGGCACTCTCCAATGCCCCGATCACCAAGTCTTCTGCCTTGATGCCCTTTTCCTCCACAAACTGGGGGTCACTGGGGCAGATGCAGCGACCGCTGAGGTGCATGGGGGGCCGAGTGGCTACCAAGCCCTCTACAACAGCCTCCAGCTGCCGGCGCAAGCAGGAATGCAGGGTGTTGGCAGCCAAGATGGCTGCTGCAGGACCTCCATGCCCATCAAACAGTGCCCAGTAATGGCCCGTCAGGAACTGCACAGGAAAGGCTCAGTGTCAGGCTCTGACAACTTCCCCAGCTGTCCGTCTGACCCAACCAGAACTAGGACGTGGGGCAGCAGGCCAAGAACCTCAGCTTGCACGTTCTGGCCCCAGACTGTAGGAGGGATTCAGGCCAAGAACTCAGGCTACACTCACTTCCTCTGGACACAGGGTCAGCCACTCTTCTTCAGCCCCAAACTCACATCTCCGGATGCACAGCTTCCCACAGGCGGCTTGATCCTCATTGAATTCAGATTTCTCTGCATTGATAATCCTGAGGCCGAGAAATTGTCAGCGGCCCTCCAGGGACACACCTATGTCCCTATGGGCACAGGGACCCGAGCCAGCACAGGGAGAGGACCCCTCCCTCTGGGGCAACAGCTCCCCAGTGCTGTCCCTAACACACACTTAGACAACCAAGATGTAGGCTTCCTAACTTCAGTGGCTCCATAATTAAGATGAAAGTCAGGGCCCAACTCCTCTGGAGCCTACCTGCGGACCCAGGGCTAGAAGGTAAGGGTGGGCTGCCCTTCCTGTTCCCTGACCTGTCACAGCCCAAAGCCCTGTCCCATGCAGTACAGGTCATACCCAGGTTAAGATGGTGGAGGTGGGGGGCGGGGGAATCCCAAAGCCCCACATGCTGGAACTCTACCGAGTCTCCGGGCCTCAACTTGGAAGCCCCTGGGCTGCAGGTCCTTCCTGATCTCTTGTCATCTCTGAGGGGTAGGTCGGAATCCCAAGGGAAACCCTGGGTCGGGATGTTGGGGAAGTTATCAGGGTTCAGAGATGAGGATAAGAAGGGGCTGTCCACAGGTGGTGGAGCTGTCACTCACTCAGCTCCTCCCGCTTTCTAGGCCGGCACTGGACCCGAGGCGGGCTCAGGCCGGGGCCGGGCCAGGGGTCGGGAGGGGCACTCACTCGGCGTAGCCTGCGTTCCAAGGCAGCGCGCGTCCTCGCGCGGGGCTGCGCACGGGCCGGGAATCTGGGCGGCGCGAAGCTTCTGCCGCGCCGGGGCTGGAGCAGGAGCCGCGCAGGAAGCGGGGCCGCTGATAGGGGACTGGGCTGGCACGCGGCCCTGGCGGTCGCGGCGCGGGGAGCGGCTCCCCAGGCAGGAAGCGGCGCCGGAACCAGCCGACGGACATGGCGCGGCGGCAGGGGGCTGCCCGCGGAGCGCGGGGCGCGAGGGCTGGGCCGCCCGCGGGAGGAGGAAGCGGGCCGGGGGCGGGGCCGGGGCGGGGCTGGGGGCGCGCGGGCGGGAGGCGACGTCCCCCAGCCCCGACCTCCGTCCCGGAGCGCGTGCGCGGCTGGCTTGCTCAGCCGGGGCTCCACCCTCAACCCTCGCGACCGCTCGAGAAATCCCACGCCGGCATCAGCCCCATTTGATAGGCAGGAAAACCGAGGCCCGGAGAGGAGAAGTCGCCTGCCCGGCGTCCCACAGTTCACCCACGCGTAGGTCACCGGCGGTTGAGAGGAAAAGTCCCCCACACCCCGCGGGCCAGCGTCGCGCAGAGCTTCGGGCCTCCTTCTGCTGGGCGAGGACCTGACGAAGGGGAAGATGGGGACAGGATGTGGTGGGAGGTGTCAGACGCGCACCTTGAGTAAGTGTCTTTGAGCACAGGGTTCTTCAGGCCGCCTCCAACCCTCTCCACCCCGGCCTGCCACCCTCCACCCCAGACGGGCTTAGTGGTCACCCTGGCTTTCCCCATCCTGAGAAGCTGCTACCACCCTCGAGGACCCTCTTCCAAATGGCTGTCCCTGCAATCAAGATGCCCTCTCGGAATAGACAGCCAGATCCTCACTGGACAGTGAATCACGGACAAGAGAAATCTTTGTGTGTATAAAGGGGAATCCGTGGTCCCCCAAAGGCTCCAGCTGGTCCGGGTTCAGACCTGGGACGGAGGGAAGTGAAAGATGAAGAACCCATCTTGCGGTCTCTCAGTCACTGGCTAGCTGTCACGGGGCGGGGGGGGGTCAGCAGCAGTGTCCCCTTCACATCTACGAGTTAACAGAGCGCTTCCTCACCCATCTGTCACTTAAGTCCAACTCCCCGTGCAAGAGTGTTACTTTGGTCGGAACCGTGACTCACACCTGTAATCCCAGCACTTTGGGAGGTGGAGGCTGGCAGCTCACCTGAGGTCAGGAGTTCGAGACCAGTCTGGCCAACATGGTGAAACTCCGTCTCTACTGAAAATACAAAAATTAGCCTGGCACAGTAGTGTGCACCTGTAATCCCAGCTACTTGGGAGGCTGAGGCACAAGAATTGCTTGAACCCAGGAGGTAGAGGTTGCAGTGAGCCGAGATCAACCCACTGCCCTCCAACCTGGGTAATACAGCGAGACTCAGTCTCAAAAGAAAAAAAAAAAAAAAAGTGTCACTTCACATGGAGGATTCTGAGGCCCACAGAGGGGAAGTCTTGGACACCCAGGGCTGTGCTATTTCCATTATGATAATGCAGCTGACTCAATCCTCACCCCCAGGACACTTCTCTTCCCCTTTCCTCCTCCAGGAAGCCAGGGCTTGCCAACTGATTACAACCTCTGATTACAGGCATGAGCCATCCACAGCCCAGTGCCTCCATATGAGCTACGTGAGGAGTCCACCTTCACCTCCACTCCCTAGCCCAGGCAGATGCTCAGTAGGCCCCATTTCCTCCCAGCAGCTAGCCCTGCCCCAGTGGGAGTTCCTCCGGCCCAAGAAGGAAGATTCTTAGGGCAGGGAGCTGTGCCCCACACCCACTCCCTCCAATGACTCAGTTCCAGAGCAGCCTGGGGGCTGATTGACTGAACCCACAGTGTGTGCTGGGCCCACACTGGGCACAGGAGCACAGTGCTAATGGAGACAAGCCAGGCCTGTGCCCACCAAGCCCCCTGCAGTGAGGGTAGCAGTTCTGGTGGATGCTGCTTCATCCAGCTGGCAAGGGGATGGGGTGACATTAGAGAAGTTTCCCAAAGGACCTCTGAGCTGAGAACTGTCACTGGGACAGAACAGAAATGTGCCAGGGTGGGGCAGGCCCAATTCAGTCTGTGGGGCCACTTCCACACCCTCGCCAGTATGCGTCAGAGGATTTTAAAGTCTACAATTGGAAGAAACAAAGTGCACGCACGCTATTCCCCAACCCACCTCTGGGTGGGGGAAAGTCTTGTCCTAAAGTATTTTCACAGAAGGTCTAGACAACCAGATGTCATAGGCAGTCTGTTGCCCAGCTTAGCCATTTTCTGTTTCAGAGCCATGTGGAGCCCCATGGCAATCCCATCCTCTCTGTTCCAAGGTGGTCTGAGTGTTCCTTCAGTGTTACCAGGCTCTTCTGGCTTCCGGGGATCCTGAGTACCTCAGTCGTGCCTGGATCTTAAGCCTATGTCTCTTGGTTTATTCCCTCATTTTGCCAAAGTGCATCCTCCAACAACTTTCCAAGACAGGATGACTGGGAGGTACTTTCCTGAGAGATATTACTTATCTATCTTTTTCTGTGAATGGTCAATTTGCATCCTTTGCCCTACTTTCTACTGGACCATTGGTCTTTTTCTTTCTGACTTATGAGGGCTCTTTATATATTAGAGAAATCCGCTCTTTATTTTGAAGTGAGTTACAAGGTATGCTGTTTGTAACAAGTTACAGTTTGTTATTTGTGTTTTGGCTGTGATGGTGGCTTTTTCCATACAGACTTTATCTTTAATGCAAATGGATTATTGATCTTTTTATAAAGGAAAATAAAAATTTCAGGACCCCCAAATTTGTTATGCCAAAAGGAGAGTTGGCCGGGCGTGGTGGTGCACTCTGGTAATCCCTGCACTTTAGGAGGCCGAGACAGGCAGATCATGAGGTCAAGAGATTGAGACCATCCTGGCCAACATGGTGAAACCCTGTCTCTACTAAAAATACAAAAAATTAGCTGGGAGTGGTAGCCAGCACCTGTAGTCCCAGATACTCGAGAGGCTGAGACAGGTGAATGGCTGGAGCCTGGGAGGCAGAGGTTGCAATGAGCCAAGATTGTGCCACTGCACTCCAGCCTGGCAACAGAGCAACACTGTCTCAAAAATAAAATAATAATAAAGGGAGAGTTAAATTTGGAGACTAAATCACTCAACACTGGCATTTCTTTTTTTTTTTTTTTTTTTTTTTTTTTTGTGATAGCTTTTTTTTTTTTTCCCTGGGCTGGAGTGCAGTGGCCTGATCTCTGCTCACTGCAACCTGTGCCTCCTGGGTTCAAGCGATTCTCCTGCCTCAGCCTCCCGAGTAGCTAGGATTACAGGTGCCTGCTACCACACCCGGCTAATTTTTGTATTTTTAGTGGACACGGGATTTCAACATATTGGTCAGGCTGGTCTTGAACTCCTGACCTGAGGTGATCCACCCACCTCAGCCTCCCAAAGTACTGGGATTACAGGTGTGAGCCATGAGTCTTTTCCTCCACTGGCCTTTTTTTTTTTTAATTTTTTTTTTTAATTCTGGCAACACCTCATTCTAAGCTGTAAAACTAACATTCTCCAACACTGTTTCTTTTCCCAAATGGATACCTGTTACCTTGCAACTTTGTGTCAAAACATTCTGCATTAGCCAGATCCCCAGAAAAATGCAAAAAGCCTCATGCATCTCCAGATGACTGCCCTTACAAATTGCTCATCAGTAAATCTTTTGCCAGCCCCTAAACCTTTCAGGAAGTATATCCTCCCATAAAACAAGGACATGTCAATTGCAACTTTAGGTCTGGAACCTAACCCTACCTCCTAAAACCAAAGTCTGTTAAATTTCACAGTGACAATGTCAGTTACAAGTTTATGGGCCCAGGTGCAGAACAAGGATAGGATGAGATCAATTATTCCTCCGTCTACCCCGAGGCCTCTGCAAAATTCCCTCTTCCTTTACTCCCTGTTCTTCAAGTGTTCGCCCTATCTTCCGTATACCCTAGATTTACCGGACAGTAATTAACAGTCTCACAAAAACATAATCATTTTCCTCACTGCCTTCTCCACTTTAAAGAAATGTACAAATATTGAGCCTCCTGAAAACTTTTTGGGAGAGCACAGGCCACAGACATTTCTGTGATTTGTGTTGCTTTCCTGGGCACGCTCAAGCACTGGCTCAATAAATTTCGATTGATTGAAGCTCTTGCCTCTGTCTCTTATTGGGGTTAAGATTTTCTCTTTTCGGCCGGGCGCGGTGGCTCAAGCCTGTAATCCCAGCACTTTGGGAGGCCGAGGCGGGTGGATCACGAGGTCAAGAGATCGAGACCATCCTGGTCAACATGGTGAAACCCCGTCTCTACTAAAAATACAAAAAAGTAGCTGGGCATGGTGGTGCGTGCCTGTAATCCCAGCTACTGAGGAGGCTGAGGCAGGAGAATTGCCTGAACCCAGGAGGCGGAGGTTGCGGTGAGCCGAGATCGCGCCATTGCACTCTAGCCTGGGTAACAAGAGTGAAACTCCGTCTCAAAAAAAAAAAAAAAAAGATTTTCTCTCTTTTCTATAGCCTAATTTAGGAAGTGAAAGGTTTTCTTTTACGGTTTCTGTGTTTGGTGACACAGAAATTTCCTCCACTCCAAGATTCTACAACCTGTTCCCTTTGTTTCTTCAGTATTTTTAAATTTTTTTAGAGAGTGTCTCATTCTGGGCCGGGCGCGGTGGCTGAAGCCTGTAATCCCAGCACTGTGGGAGGCCGAGGCGGGTGGATCACAAGGTCAAGAGATCGAGACCATCCTGGTCAACACGGTGAAACCCCGTCTCTACTAAAAATACAAAAAATTAGCTGGGCATGGTGACGCGTGCCTGTAATCCCAGCTACTCAGGAGGCTGAGGCAGGAGAATTGCCTGAACCCGGGAGGCGGAGGTTGCGGTGAGCCGAGATCGTGCCATTGCACTCCAGCCTGGGTAACAAGAGCGAAACTCCGTCTCAAAAAAAAAAAAAAAAAAAAAGTGTCTCATTTTGTAACCCAAACTGGAATGCAGTGGTGTGATCACGGCTCATTGCAGCCCTGAACTCTGGGGCTCAGATGATCCTCCTGCCTTACAGTCCCAAGTAGCTGGGACTACAGACATGTGTGACTGTGCCTGGCTAACACATATCTATCTATAGATATGTATATGTAGAGATGGGGTCTTGCCTTGTTGACTAGGCTGATCTTACATTCCTGGCTTCAAGCAGTCCTCCTGCCTCAGCCTCCCGAGTAGCTGGGACTACAGGTGTGCATCACCATGCCTGACTAATTTTAAAAGATTTTTTTTTGTAGGGATGGAGTCTCACCATGTTGTTGCCCAGGCTGGTCTCAAACTTCAAGGCTCAAGAGATCCTTCCACCCTGGCCTCTCAAAGTGTTGGGATTACAGGCATGAGCCACTGCACCTGCCCCCCAACTCTCAAATAAAGAAAACTATGATTCTTGGGCACACTCACTACCATGTGACCTTGATCAAATCACTTCACCTCTCCAAACCTCAGTCTTTATCGCTAAGATGGAAACAGTAACACCTACTCCAGGGGCTGTCATGAGGATTAAATAAATATGCCCAGTAGGTAGTAAGTATACAACACAAAGCCTGTAATCGTTCATTCATACATTTGCTTATTAATTTATTTTTGAGATGGAGTCTTGCTCTGTCACCCAGGCTGGAGTGCGGTGGTACAATCTCAGCTCATTGCAGCCTCTGCCTCTTGGGTTCCAGCAATTCTCCTCTCCTGCCTCAGCCTCCTGGGTAGCTGGTATTACAGGCAGAAGCCACCATGCCCAGCTAATTTTTGTATTTTTAGTAAAGACAGGTTTTCACCATGTTGGCCAGGCTGGTCTTGAACTCCTGACCTCAGATGATCCACCCACCTTTGGCCTCCCAAAGTGCTGGGATTACAGGCATGAGCCACCATGCCCGGCCTACATTTGCTTATTTTGCAATTATTGGCCATCTGACAATGTTGGGTACTGTTTTAGGCACTGGGGATACAGCACGGGCAGACACCTAACTATTGGTGGAGGGAAGA